TTAAGTAAAGACTTGTGTCGTTAAAGTTTCGTCGGAAACGAAGTTACGGAAAAATCAATTAACAAACGGAGACGTAACAGAATTATAGGGTGAGGAAATATACGTAAAATAATGCCCAGGTCAAATTATTAAAATAAAATTACCGCTTATGTAAAATGCAAAACAAATGATAGACTGGGTTAAAAAATCATGAGGTTTAGGACAAAAGCTTGCGACATTTAAAAGTGTGCACTCACGCTTTATGAATTAGCTTTTTATTTAATTGCGGTAGTTTAGTCGTTAGAGGCCTCGACTTGCAATCTGCAAGATCGAAACCCTGCGCCAAACATACTTGCTCATTCAGCTGTGGTGGCGTTATAATGTGACAGTCAATCCCAGTAGTTATTGGTGAAAGAGCATCGCAAATGTTGATTTTTGCTGCCTACTTTATGGTCGGCAGTTAAAATTTAAGGCCGTCGGCATATAGCCTTAGTAGTTTTGTCGTAAATACAAATAAATAGATAAAATCTTTAACTGCGACTTCTAAGTCTGTTTTGCTTCTATCTTAAATTTTGAAATTTGAGGGAGAGATCTGACGCCTAATGCTCTCTTTATGGCTTCGGATTGTATTTCAGCGTAAATTACCAATATTTTTTGTTTTTTCCTTTAGATTTTTCGTGCAAAGCTTCACAAAGGTTATAATTTGAAAATGAAAGACCAAAAAGAAAGGCAACAACACCAACCGCCAACTTTTGTCTGACCGACCCAAAGTGTAGAGAGCGATGTTTTCTTTTTTGAGGCTGAAGTAATATTAGTGTTCATCTGTTAATCAGAATGGTGAGATTCTGAATTTTAGTTCTTTCTGGGAGTTCGCATTAACTTCAAACTCATGAGTAATTTGGTCACGAGTTCGAATCACAGCTGGTGTTGGAAAGTGTGGTTCTACCAACATAGATAATCCCAGTGCTCAGAAAAGAAAAGTGCAACCACTGCTTTTCCTTTGACAGATACATGCAATTCAGTTACTAAGAGTTTACACGTGACTTAACTTGTTGTTGTTCCACGATAACGATACGCTAGTGATTCCTATTTCTACAGTCTGAAAGGTGTACTTACTGTATACGTTTAATTACAAATAGGTAAATAATAGCATACACATTATTTTGTCTACAAGTTCTTTAATAATTGTTTCTTTACAATTTTTACAGACATTTTTCACATAGTCAAAGAAAAAAATCATTCAAATTAAAGTGATTTTGCGATTGAACATTATAACACACACAGACAACTGAGCATTAGCTTCATGAAGACATTGATGGATATGTATACTAATTCCTTCTAATGATACAATTTTTACCATTACACCTGATTAAGGAAAAACGATTAGCAATCAGAATAATTAAATAAAACAATTCTGGAGCATTATTTTACAAACCATTTATGCTGACTCCCAGTGGTATACAATAATAACAGTATAGATAGGGGTTAATAGGTGTATTATACGTGGCTCAATATTTACTCATTAATATTGTATCAAAGTTAACACAACCTTATTGTAACTGAGTGAATTATTTCAGAATCTAACTAATCACATTAATATTTCTGATGTTCTGATATAATATATGGAAATCTCTGATATCTGTGTGGTTTTAGTTATTATGGAGCTAGCTTGAAAAACATAGAATCCTTAGAAATTGTGTACCATAAAATTAATTTACAAAACAAAATTTTGTATATGTCAGTCTGATGAAATCTGCTTAAGATTATTATTATGCTAAAATATTTCATTTTGTACAATGTTTTTTTTTTTTAAAATAATAAGCTGTTTTATTATAACTTTTAATTGGTTGCTTGCCACCTCTCCAAAGCTCATGAAATTGAAAATCAAAAATTATTGAACAGTCAATTTGATAAAACATACAACTACACTAGCACAAGGTAAACTGAAATATCTTCATGTAACCACTGATCCTATGTACATATAAAATACAAGAAAGATATTTTCCGAATATCTCATTGTGCTAGTGGAATGAACACAGAAATCTGTGTTCACAACTCCCAAACGGTCTTCCAAAAAGGAGTAATAAAAATCTACAATATTAGAGGGATAAATACACAAGTTCCCCAACTTTCACAATAACTCTCATCAATGTTAATATTAACCCCTTTCCAGACTAGGACTTGAAGCATTTGGCAGGAGCCACAGTGATCCAATATTGATTAAGAAACATACAAGAAATCTTTATTCAAACTAACATTTTCATTGCAATGTTACATGTCAATGAGAGTTTTACAACTGTGCACCAACTACCAACTTACATTATCTGAAGTTTTGTTTTGTGTAATGACTTAAAACAGGTTTGATCTCTAATTTATTCAGAGGTATTTACAGAAATATCTTTGACAAAGGAAATGAAAGTAGAGAAATTACTATGTGTATTTTGCATATTTTACAAATATGCAAAATATTTTTGCAATGTTTCTTTACTATATACATTTTTGCAATGTTTCATTTGTGTGTTAAAGTGGTTAAACAAAACTAAGTGTTGCTCAAAACAACCTACAGACTTAAGCTGAGATTGCCAACAACTTTTTGGTTTCAGATAAACATTTCTCTTAAAACAACAGTGTGGAACAACATTACAACAAGTGTCAGAGCCAGAAATCAAAGTATAAATACTTAATATACCTAAAGTTCTAAATATAAGATACTCCTTTTAACTATTTTAATGAGTTTACAATTTTTCAGTTGACAGGATAAACTTCTGATATATCTTGTAAACTTACTAGATTAAACTGGAGTGAGTCTATTTCAAAAGCTTTGCTATATGATGATTTAAAATGTCACCAACTGTAAAGCTATAAAAGCATTAAAAAAAATAAAAGTACCTCAAATGAACTTCTAATTTAAGAGTTTTCAGTATTTAAGACTTAAGTGAAAGTAATCTCTCTAAAATAGTATCTTTTTTAAATGCCCAGTTAACCTTACATTTGTAATAGTGAAAGTATCAAACATTTTAAGGAACTAATAAAACAAAAGAAGGGGAATATTTCTCTAATGTAAAAATGTTACAGCATATGTGAGCTTTAATGTACCAATTAAAATTTCTATGTGTGGGAAAAAAGTACGATAAACAGATAATAACACAATTTATTTACATAAACTATGATGACTGTTAAAACTGACAGCTGAAAATACAGCAAACAAAAATATTCTATGTTTTTCTTTCTTTAGAGTAAAATTTCTTGAAAATTAGTTTTGTCAACAGTATATATATATATTTAATGAAACAGAAGCACTTATTAAGCAACTAAAGTACATTTTATAATGATCGAATTTCCACAAAAAATAAATCAGTTTTAACTGGAGGGTACTGTTTAATACACTTGTTTTCACTACTTGTCTGTTTAGGCAAAATTAACAGAGTTCAAAAAGAAAGCATGTATAGGGATGTTTTGTATCTGTTTATTACTCTTGATGCACTCTGACACAAAAATGTTAGTTTTGAAAATGTTAGGTGACAAACATTTGTGAATTAAAATTTCTTAAGATTTAAATACATAAAATAATAACAACAATAACATACTATAGAATCAGTATCTAACTGATGTTTCACAAACAATATGAATCATTGACAAATGAAATATGCAAGGGATTTGATTAAACACAAATAGCTCTTTTCACGATTTATTTTGAGGTCCCTTGTTCATAAATCCATAATAACATAGTCACTGATAGAACTAATTTCCTAAATATTTTTCTACAAACAATTAAAAGCAGCAAAATTCAGCTTTGCAAGGATATATATATATATATATATACATACACACACATACAAATTATAAATATTCAATATTATAGTTACCCAAAAATTAAGTTAACTTGAATATTATTTTCAATTTGTTTTACCATTTTCAATAAACTAACTTCTTATTTGGTTAAAACACAATGTGTAGTAATTATAGCACTAAATTTATATTTATTGTTCAGTCTCAAATAAAAAATATGTTAAATACATGTTAGTATCTTTTTTTTAGCCTTGGAAATATTTCAGGCACTTTAAGATTTACAATAAAACACACACACATACACAGACACAAACATACACTCACACAAAATCTTTCTTCCATATTTATTATTTGATAATGTTTCTTTTTCTAAGGCCTAACTAAATTGCAATAGTAAAACATATAAGCATTATGAACATAAACATAGAAATTTGAAAACCAAATGTTTTTATTAACAATATTTTCCAAGTACTTGACTTTTTCTGTAAATTATTCATAGTATGCTTTAAAAAATCCCATTAAAGCAGTTTATACAAAAAAGTTTGTAAATTAAATGTTCCATTTTTAGTATTATGCTGAGAAATGCAGTTTTTAACAAAACTGTATATGAGTACTAATATGAAGACACTAACATTGTACAATAAAATTAGCTATAATCTGATAAATTATCACATAAACACTAATATCTTGATTATACAACAACTAAAATGTCTGAAACCCAGGAAATCCTTGTCCTTTTAACAATAAAGATAATTTTTAATAAATCCAATGTCTTATTAATGACACAATTAGTTTTGGTTTTATTACATTATTATCTTCAAAAATTAATAGTCATTATATATTTCACTGCTAAAGACTATCCTTTCTTTAAGGGTTACCATTAAATGATTTCTCTGCTATAACAGTAATCTTATTGACTATCAAAAATATCTGAAGGGAAAAAAATAATTTCTGGGAAAGAACTCACCATTATTTGAAATGTTTTCTACTTGAACTTCTGACATATTTCAGAAAAAAATTATTTTGCATAACTTTCTATGAAAACTTTAATGGAATCATTTGAACAACATACCATGCTTTACTAAGTAATGTCTGTGATGTCTGCTTTTTTTTTTTTGCTTATTTAGATTTAAGGACCTATTTACTTTTTCCTAAGCCTGCCATTCATATAAGTAAAACATAATATGAAGCAAGCAAAAAGAGCATTAGTTTGACAATTTGCATTTGTGTAAACCAATAAATTGGGAATTATCCATCAGTGAATGTGAATGGACTTTACTAACTCTACAACTGTAAATGGATCTCTGACAGCAATGGCACAAAGGTTCAACAGCTCATCATGCCAGGTTTATCTACATGAGGAATGCTTCAGTTTTATTTTATAAACTTCTGAGCTTTTCTTCATCTCAGTTGTAATTATGTTACACATTTGGTTTCTCTGTTATTCACAACCTGTAAGAATAAATTACCAAAAAAGTCACATATAAATGAGGTAGTTTAATAAATTAAACTTCTAAGTAATACAATTTATTTGTAGAAATATGTATGTATAAGCGTGTTCATAATTTACAAAACTTGATCATCAGCAATCAGAATTAAGTCAGCTTTGGGGTCCATTAATATGAAATAATCTTGATTCCGAACACATTTATTGTACACAAATTAAAACATAACTCATCATTAGAGTTGTTATAATAGCATCTCTTGCTTGATTGGTATGTATACTTATCTTAACTTTTTATGTCCAGAACTGAATTACATGTGGTATTTGGATAAGTTTATCCAAATTTATAAAACTTTAAATTTTCAGAAGTTTGATACAAAAAACGAATAAAAATCAAACTACAATGAAACATGAGATTTCTTAAGCATACAGTGTGACTCAGAGGTCCATTGAAAAGCAAATAAATTAGAAATAAGAAGTATAGGAAAATAATTGTTAATGGTATAGAATGAGGTGCTCTTGGCCTATCCTGTGACTACAGAGGTCATTCAGGACTCTTTCAAGCTTATGTCCTTTGGAAATTTTATGAATATACATCACACACACAAATTGTTAATGGCAAAGGTGTACATAATAGCACATGGAACATTTTAAACCAAAATATTACAAAAATACAGTTATAGCCATAAATGCATATGAAGTGGTGCCACAGAAGATAGAAATCCAACAAAACAACATGTTGTTATACAAATTTAGGTTGGATGTGTATGACCATAATTTTGCATATGCAGGTCATTGTATCTTTGAAGAGTCCAAAAGGTTAAGTAGTAGTAAAAGCCCCAACATAAGGCAGCATATAAGCATTGTACTATAACTGCTTTCAAATCATCTAAATAATGGCACAATAATCAGTTGAAGAACAGTTTAACATTGTCTTACTGTATAGAAAATGTCTGGACTGCTGTTATATTGTATGTCAGATGATGTTCATAAACATTATCTTTCACATTAGATGACAGGAAATGTGTCTGTATAATACAGGCAGAACAAGGACAGGATTAAAATATAAACAGTGAAGCTACTTTATTGGTATTTGACACATCTGGGTAGCAATTTGAACATGGCTATTGATCTTATGTCAATAATCAGAAATTTTTGAGAATAGTGTCTGAAAAAAGTAATGGGTTGAGAGAAAGTTTTGTTAGATTTCCCATTTTAAAGGGAAACTTCAGATTCTTGATGAAAAAGTCTTCCTTTATTCTTAACTTTTGAGTATGTGTGTTTTGTTATAGCAAAGCCACATCAGGCTATCTGGAGTGTCCACTAAGGGGAATCAACCCCCTGATTTTAGCATTGTCCACAGTGGGACCTTAACTTTTGAGTATGTGTGTTTTGTTATAGCAAAGCCACATCAGGCTATCTGCAGTGTCCACTAAGGGGAATCAACCCCCTGATTTTAGCATTGTCCACAGTGGGACCTTAATTTTTGAAGGATGAAGCATTAGTTTAATAGTTATTGAGCATTACAAAAACATATGTGCTGGATTTGTTGAAGACAGTTTTGATAATATCCTGCCACTATATTGAACAGTGGTTAGTAGTCTTGATTTCCACTTCTTTATATTAAAATTCCCTTTTATTCACAAAAAAAGAAAAAGAAAAAAAAGAAGAGGGGATTTAAAAAGTAAATGATTAAATAATATGTATATATAACAAAATATACAAAAAAAGCAGTATGTCACTGTTATCTGGCTGTTTCCTTGTGGTTGATGGTTTAAAATTAGGGACAGTGTCACCTTACCTGGACCTCACACTGACAAAAGTTCTATGACAGGATTCCATAATTGGGGGGAAAAGTGCCTATGATTTGTACAGTACTACAAGTTGTTACTGAGTAACCATAAACATAGCTAGCTACTTCATGTGTATTAAATATAAAATGTAATAATGCCTTAGTAATAGGGTTTCCAACCTTCCATAAATTTATACACAATCAGAAGAAACAGTCACATTTTAACTAGTTTGTAAACCCATAAAGAATAACAAATGTTTATGATTTCAGTAAAAAAATTCCACTTGTTTGTCTGTATACAAGTAAAAAAATCCAACAAAACTGTAAGGTTGGCAATCGTGCATAGTAATCTCATAGCTGTGACAAATGTTGCCATACCAGCAATACTTCATGTCCCCAACACCATATATTTTTATACTTTATAAGATGTTTTGCATAAAGTTAAGCTTTCTAACTGTAGCAAAAGAAAAACATTACATGTAGCACAACTACTAAAAACAAACTACATTCGACCCCCACATTACGGAAGGGATGTGTTCTTAAAAAAAGTTTCCATAGCGTAAAATTCCATAACTCAAACTTATTTTCCCATTCATCCCCATGTTATAAGTGTAGATGCATTCTTACAAAACCTTTTTTGATTCACAAAAGTATTAAAGACAGACATATGGAAGTATGAAAACATTTTTAAACACATATTAAATGTAACTGAGATAATTTAATAGTTTTACTCAGCAAAAATAATAGTAGGTACACAAAAATAATTAACTTTTACTCGGGGAGGGAGATGGTCATGATCATCATCTTGATGTGGTGTAGGCTCAGTTCTTTTGACGAAGAATGCATCGAGAATTATTTGCTGTTTCTGCTGCATCTTCTCCTTGTAGCAGTGCATGACATCATGCAGTCCTCTTGTAGCTTTTAGACTGCGTTCACGGCTGGGATTACTAGCACTAAGGATTTGCACCACTTCCACGAGGGGACAAAGGATTGGGATAAGTGGTTGGTAGTCAACTGAAGTTGCATTGGTGGTGTTTCAATAATGTCCTCCTCTTCTGCAGCACACCCTTGTTCCAACAGTTATCAGATCCTCATTCAACATATCTTCTCCACGAAACTTTAATAACTCAACCACATAATTTTTGACGATATCTTCAAAACCAGCCTGTCTTGCAAGTGCCACAATATCTTGGTGAACTTTCCCAGCACTTTCTGCTTGGGGGAACCACGTAAAGTCTTTGGTACAGTATGGCCATATGTTGACTCCTTCACTTTATCCCATGACTTGGTGATGTTGTTTATTGCATCCATAATGTTATATTTCTTCCAGAAATCACAAACTGTAGGCTTATTCTCTCCATCAGTTGTTTCAGAATTCTATGTAGTAATATGTCTTGAAATTGGAGATAACACCTTGATCTGTTGGCTGAAGCAATGCAGTTGTGTTGTAAGGGATGTACTCAACTCTTACATTATCAGAAAGACCATTCAAGTTCACCAGGTAGCTTGTTGCATTGTCTAAGATGAGCAATATTTTGTTGGTAATATTACATTTCTCACAGTAATTTCCAACAGCAGGACAGAAGAAATTGATGAACCAGTCTTGAAAAATACTTATATTCATCCAAGCCTTCTTATTTGAGTGCCAAATCAATGGTAAATTAGGCTTGGCATATCCATTTAGAGCCCTTGGAGTTTTGAAACTGTACACTAGTATAAGCTTTAATTAAAAATCTCCAGCAGCATTGCCACCCAAAAGTAGAGTTAGATGATCTTTCAAAGCCCTGAACCTTGATACAGACTTATTTTCCCTAGAAATAAATGTATGTTCTATCTGGCATGCATTTCCAGAACAGCCCAGTATCACCCACATTGAAGACTTTTTCTGGACTGTAACCCCTTCATCAATAATTTTCTTGAGTTCACTAGGGTATCTTCGTGCAGGTATCAGCACTGGCAGCTTCACCACTTAGTTTTATGTTATGCAAGTTAAAGTGCTTCCTGAACCTATCAAACCATCCTGTACTTACCAGAAATAGTTTTTCTGCAGAACTACACTACCATTTTGTTCAGTCACCAAATCATCATACAAGCTTTTTACCTTAGCTTGTATAACCATTGTGTTTAATGGCACATTACATTTGATCTGGTCCTCAATCCAGACACTCAGGAGTCTTTCCATATTAAGCATCACTTCATCTCTATAAAAATACAATGTATGAGCACTTAGAGGTGTAACTACTTAGCACTTGCCTTGATTTTTTCTTTATTATCATGTATTGCTCTCACTGTAGAGGTAGCAAGCCCTAAAGTTTTAGCAATAGAGCTAAGTTTCTCTTTGTCATCAAACATCCTCAAAACATCAAGTTTCACATTCAAAGTAATTCATTTCCATGCTCTCTTGGGTGTACTACTTGCACTTAATGGCCTATTTCCAGACATTATGAATAAGGGTGCAGTCTTGAAGAGTGATAACTCTAGTTTTGAATTTCACACTTTATATTTTGGTTTTGTTTTCTACATTTTTTCATCATTGTTATAGAGTGCTGAATTTATCATCCACAAACACTGGATGTAATTGATAGTATTACACTTGTATACGTTTTAGATATAAATAAGATATTTTAAGATAAAAATGTTGCTTTTTCTGTACATTACATGGTTAAACTTTTTATGATATTCATGTATTGGTATTTTAATATTTCTTAGTTGATTCGTTATCCTTTTTAAAACTAGCATACCATTTCTTCTTATTAAAACTTTTTGAAGTAAAGTTTGAACTTTTAAAGTATCACAGGTAGTTTTTGTTTAATACATATAATTCTGAATACCTTGTTTACTCTCATGATACGACTCTTTTAAATGTTGGACTAGCCTGCCGGGCAACTAGGCAAAAGCTTGGTGTGCCCCCTAGAACTCATGCAGTGGTTTCCCCACAAATTTTATAGTTACCACTTAAACCAATGTTCACAAATTAAAACCAGTGTAATTTATTTATCTTGAATGGCCAATTTAATGTAGAACACTATAATAAACAGTGAATACATTTAGACCTACAATTTACAGGCAATACTTATACCCCTTCTTGTAAGCCTTGCCCAGGTAAATATAAATCACACATTCATAGCCTCTTGAAGGAAGTTCTTTAAACAGCTAATCATGTCACATTCTGTACACCACTAGTGTATTTTTAGAATTTTGTTTATGGAATAGAAAAGGATTCTCTGTAACATTGTAAGTATAGGTCTAGATACTTGTTTAGATCTGTCCATGAATGATTGAACATGACTGCAAGCTGCATAGGCATACATACAAGTTACAGCATCGTACTTCTCTCTTGACTATCACCTCATAGTTTTAAGTTTTGTATACAAATCTGAGAATAATCATGAAATGACTGCACACATTATACAAGTCCTGGGCCTGTTGTTTAAAGTTGACAACAGTCTGTAGACTTCATACATTTAAATAATAAATAATGTCAGAAAGAGGAGATATGTCAATGGATACCAAAAGTGCAAATATTCTAAAATGAAAAAGTTGCAAGAGTCTGCAAAGGTCACTAGAAATACTGAATCAGTATTTGCCAATCAAAGTTTCCAGTTTAATAATAACGAACAATCCTTAGGAAGTGGATCTGCGAGTAAAAGACAATACAAAAGTTTAATTTCGCTTATATATAAATATTAATCTGATTACATTAATACTGCCATACCCATAATAATATTAAAATTGTTAGCTACGATTGCTACAAGAATCAGTATTGTTGTATAATAGCACAATTTATGCACTGTTATAAACTAAACTATTATATTAAAATTAATGGGCTTGTTCTGCCTGGCAATTTTGCTGGAGAATTTCCCTGGTAAATCTCACCAGCAATAACAGGACTGAATAGCACATCTCGTTTTGTATTTCAGCTGCAAAATTATTAGATTATCAATAGTTTGCATATAGATAATTTTTCACACAAATTGGCCAGTAGAATGCTTAACAGATTCTCATAAAATACACAATGTATAATATAGGGTTTGCAGTTGATCAGTCATAACATTTGAAATTTTGAAACCATCTCATGAGGAATTAAATAAGTGCAAAACAGTCTCATCTCCATATAATTTATTTTTTAAATATCAATATTTAATATATGTTCATGTATTAGGTACAATAATATATATATATTCTTAATTAAAATATCATCATGATAAATGTTATTTAGACATTTATAAAATAAATTAATTTCTGTGTTGCACACACATTTGATCTATAGTTTTAAAACATTTCAGCTCCTCAAGACAAATGGCATGAGGAGCTGATAACCAGTATATCTGGTCAATAAAGACACTGTCATGGTGTACTGTACGTACATGGCAAATTTTGCCTAACGTTGCCATAGTTTGCTAAATACAATAAGCTGGATTACTGTCATAATAATAACATCATTATATGATAATGCCACAAATTTGTTTTTTGTAAGACACAACGACATTATCACATTTATTCATTTATTTGATAGACAGAACTATAAAATCACTTCTCACATTAAACGTTTCAAAGTAATCAATAGGTTACACAAACAACTGCACATGAAGGAACTCTTGAAACATGACCTGTTCATTCATGCAAAAATGATGATGATGTTACAGCAACAGCTGCACACACATGGAAACCCCATACAGCAGCGAGAAATAAGACACAGAGACAGGTGTAGGTAACTCTCATGAAAGTGATATCTATAAACCATCAAGTCACAATATGCACAGCAAATGTTTTTCCCAACACTCAGTTCAAACAGATGAAAATACTCCATTTAACCCAAAAGTGTATTACTGAAAAAAGTTGATGTTAAAAAATTAAGAGACAATGACTCTTTTTTTCAAATCAGCAACAGAAGCCTTTCTACACTATTTACCTATACTATTCAAGCAGTAATACCAGGTTTTTATTTATGCTTGGATGCAGTGACTGGTGCCATGTTCATCAACATGTTGGGGAGCATGAAGAATCTAAAACCGTGAAGTACATGTGATGAATATGAAAGGTGGAAACATTTTGTACTATGTACATGACATGCATTCTAATAAACAAAAGGTTGAAATTACTGAGAATCACAAAATTGTTGATAGAATTTTTGCTGTTATAAAAGTTATTGAAAAGCTTAATATTCAGTCTAGAGGACACTGAGGTGAAGCTACACGAGCTGGGAAAAGATGAAATATTGATGGCGTTTTCTTGGAAATCATAAAACTTGCAATCAGTACGGCATGTCACTCTCAAAGCATTTAAAGAATGTAACTACTAACTCCAGAAAATGCAAAAAGTCTAGAAATACAGGAAGTGCTTTAGTTACTTTCATCAGTAAAACAACAGTTGACAAGCTGCTTGTTATAATGAAGAATATGATCAAGCATGCTTTGGCAAATGAAGTTAGAAATACTGGTATGTTCTCACTACAGAGTGATTCCACAAAAGTATCACTACAACTAACTAGTGCACTGTGGTAATTCGGTATGTGCTTGGAAGGAAAGTAGTTGAAAAGGTGCTAGCTCTCGTTCCCTCCCACAGCCACAGTGGTAGTGGACAAGGATTGTCTGATCTAGTGAAATCTGTATTTGGAGATTACAAAATTAATATCAACAAGTGTAGCAAACAGCACATATGGAGCAGCAGCTTGCCACGGGCAGTACAGTGGCTTTCAGGCAAAGTTCTCTCCTGCTGTAGATACAAATGTCCACATGTGGTTCTATGTACTCAATTTAGCTTTGATAGACTTGACAAAGGTAGGTGTTGTAGCAAAATCATTACTCAATCTGTTGCAAAAAGTTGCAGATTTCTTCAAAGTTCCTACAAGGGAATGGATGACTGAAAAAATGAAATTGAAATAAAGTTAGGGGCAGACAAATTGAAGATAGTGAAACATGTTGGTCAGGAAAATCAAATGGATTATCAACTATGTTTGGGATATTTACAGACCACTCCAAATCTGATCAAGTGTCTGGTTATAATGCAGCATTCAAAGTCACATGATACTGCCATGAAAACAGTGGCTAGAAGGCTTTCTGAGGTATGATACAATTTTGACCACTCACACATTCATGTACATTTTTCATCATATCACACCTGTATTTGAATACCTTCAAACAAGTGGACAAAAGTGTACAGTTCAACTGAGAGCACTGAGGGAAGACATGTATTGTAGCTGAAGCAGACGAATTTGTTAGACAAACAAATGTAATTTTGTGGAACATTGACTGCCAGGTCTGTTAAATGTTGAGGAATGTGATGAAGTCAAGATGTCAGCTCAATTGGCTGTCCGAAGGAAGAGAAAGCAAAATTTAACATGCTATTTGATCAAGCAATAGGAAGTCTGACGAAATGATTTGCTGAACATGGTCAGATGTATGCTGACATGCAGTGTTCTGATCCAAAGAAAAAGGGCTTGACTGCCAGATCACTGAATAAGATAGGTCAGCTCATGCCATACCTATATCTTGCAAAACTAAGATCTGAACTGGAAAATTTTGCAAGAGTATGTCTGAAGCTAAATTAAAATTTAGAAGACCAGTATACTGCCTTGGAAGATGTGTTGGCTAAAGAAGGTGATACTTCTGAAACTGACCAGACTAGAACACGAGTACATTACTTTGGCCAAAACTTTCCAGTAAATGGTGTTTAATGTGTGCTTTTCAGTTGCTTGAAACTACATGCTACATTTAAAAGCATATGACAACTTACATAAAGTGTATCACTTTCTTCTGATTCTTTCCATCACTCAAGTTTACTAGGAAAGATGCTTCTTGAAGCTAAAGATAATAAAAACAAAACTGAGAAGACTGTTAACATCTGAGCATCTTGAAGCCTTCATGCTAGTAAGTATTGAAACCAGCAATCAAGTTGAGATACCAAACAGTAAAATCATCTGAAAAATTCAAATGGCAGCTTTCAGATTTCATAAACTGTTAATGCACATAAATAATGGGCACTTATATGTATTATTTTATGTAAGTGTCATGCACATTTAGAATGGGAACATACTGATATATAAAGTTTACATATATTTTCATTTTTATGCACAGCAGATCTCTGTGAGGAACTATACTTTTACACAAGTTTCATATACCACTGACCATGCTAATATAAGTGTTTACTATTTTAAATTAAGAGTTAAGGGCTGTCTTTGATATAAATGCAAAATTCTTCTGGCAAGAGTTATATATATACCGTATTTTTCGGAATACAAGATACACCCTTATTTTGAAGACAAAGTTTTGGGGAAAAAAAAGCTACAGTCGCATTTGAAAGATTTTTTATTGA